AGCAGGAGCTAGCCAGGACCAAAGAAGCCTTGCAGGCCATGAAAGCTGACCGGAAGCGCTTAAAGGGAGAGAAGACGGACCTGATGGGCCAGATGCAGCAGCTGTACGCCACGCTGGAGAGTCGCGAGGAGCAGCTCCTTGACTTCATCCGCAACTGTGAGCAGCACCGCAAGGAGAGCGAAGACGCGGTCAAAGCACTGGCAAAGGAGAAGGACCTGCTGGAGCGCCAGAAGTGGGAGCTGCGACGCCAAGCCAAGGAGGCCACAGAGCACGCCGCGGCCCTGCGCTCCCAGCTGGACCTCAAGGACAACCGGATGAAGGAGCTGGAGGCCGAGCTGGCAATGGCCAAGCAGTCCTGAGCCACGCCGACCAAGGACGTCCCCAAGCGGCATTCCCTCGCCATGCCGGGCGAGACGGTGCTCAATGGCAACCAGGAGTGGGTGGTGCAGGCGGACTCCCGCTGACCGCAGCCATCCGGCGGAGTCAACAGACTCTCTACCACTCACACCCCCCCTCACCCTGCGGACCGGCAAGCGGTCAGGGTGAGTCCCTGCCACTCCCGGCAGCCCTCCGTCATCTCCGACGCATCTGCCGCCGGAGGCGACCGGTCGTCCACACCCAGCGACATCAACTCCCCTAGACACTGGACGCACTCCCTCTGCAACGGCGACAGTCCCGGCCCAGTTCCGAAGAACCTGCACAACCCTATTGTACAGTCACTAGAGGATCTTGAAGACCCAAAACGGAAAAAGAAGAAAGAGAAGATGGGATTCGGCTCCATCTCCCGCGTCTTCGCCAGAGGGGAGCAGCGGAAGTCCCTCGACCCGGCCTCTTTGATGGTACCACCCCTGATTATTACATAGAGGAGGACGCGGAGTGGTGATACGCGCTCCCCTGCGCCTGCTGCCCGCAGGCGTGTCTGTGCGTGTGGGCGTGCATGCGAGCGTGGGTGCGCGTGTGGCCGTGCGTGGGGTGCACGTGTGCGTGTGCGCGTGTGCTCTGGCACACATGGGTGCTGGGTGTGGCGGAGCACCTCTCACAAGCGAAAACACGAGTGTGAACCCCCATCCCCTGCGTCGCCACCTCTGTAATTGATGTACATACCGCAAACCGTGTGTGAACCTGTCAACTCTGTCGTCTTTGGAGCGATACGGTTGTGTTGTTAATCTGGTTTATCATTTTTCTTCCATGTTTGGTTTTTCTTTTTTTTTTCCTTTTTGTTCGGTTCGTCGGTTTTTGCTTTTTTCCCCCTTTCTCCACCCCTCCTCCTTTTTATGAAACTTGAAAACTTGAAGGACTGCTGTGTATTTGTAAATAACTATTGTGCACTCCATGCGTGTAAATGTCTCTCGTCCAAACCGCTACTCCTGGAGCCCGTCTGGCAGAGGATGTGGTCTGGTTTTGATGTCCCCTTCCCGCCCCCTCCCCCGTGTGAACGTGTGGGACCAGACCCTGTACTGGGGGTGCGCCCAAGTCACTTTAACCACAAAACGCCATCATCGTCGTCAGGGTAAGGTCCGCTCTCCGCAGAGACTCGTGAGCCCGGCCGCGGGCCTTGTCTTGGCTGGGTTCGTCAGAGGTCAAACGGGCTCTTTTAAACGGCCTGCCAGTTTTTAAATTGCGTTGCCGTTTCTTTCTTTATGGAAAAAAAAAATTGTTTCGTTTATTTGCACAAATGCTCAAAACATATTTTATCTAAATTATTACATAAATATTGGAATGTCTATTTTTCCATGGGGTGGGCGGGAGGCGGGTGTTTCTGTTGACGTGTCTGTTCTGTTCTCATGCTGCTGCCCAACTGTGCAAAGTAGTTTAGGGTGGCCAGAACCCAGGGACCAATGGATTTCAGACCTTGTTTTTTTCTGTTCTCTCTTCTCTCTCCCTCTCTCTCTATCTCATCTCTCCCATTCTCCTGCTCATGCATCAAAGTGTCCTCCACCTTCTTCCTGTCCAGAGCTCCTCCGGACCTTTCTAGAGCTATGTATTTATCTGACCTATAGAACACGACCTCAGTGAGCAGAGTGCTGACAGTCGTGGTCCCTTCTTTGGGTCTGTCTTTTGAGAGAGGTTGAGTTCGGGGCAAGACAACCTGCGCACACTTAAGGGTACGACAGAGGGACCCTGGCCTGAGTCTGTTCCCCAGGGGGCCTCCAGCAGCATCCGTTCCTCCCTGCAGCTGTGTCTTTCTTGTCCTGGGTTTATGATGCAGGTGGGCCAGGCAGATGTCATTAGGGGAGGGATGCACCTCAAGAGGAGGGCCACAGTGGGGACACGAGGCCAGACCTGAGCCCTCCACCCTCCCCATTCTGGTGGTTCCATCGACCACGCTTAGAATCTCCCGGGATCCCTCAGGCTCTGTCCCCTAACTTGTCACAGCAGCCTGAGCCTACACCCCAGGAGAGGAGAGCTGACAGGAACATCCACCTGTTTGGGGAGTGGCGTTGGCCCGAAAGAGGATTCACCAGCAAAGGAACTGTGTGCATTGTAATGCTGGGGGACAGAGATGTGAGCTGCTCAACTGGGTCTGCCCAAGGCCTAAAACTCAATTTCCCTTTTCTTTTGCTTCTGCTCACCCTTAACAACTAACAGCTCAACTCCTGCCTCTAGACAACAGTAGTCATGCTTTCTGCTAATGGTAACATTTTCAGCTCTTAAAAGAAGCAAGGGGATTTTCAAATGCTAGAATATCTTCATCAGAAGGGATAGGTTATTGTGTCCAAAGTCTCAAGAACAAACAACTCTTTCCTCCTGACCTGGTCCAAAGCTCAGCAAAGAGCAGGTGGAGGCCTCATCAGAACCTTTCTGTCCTCCTTTGGCCAAACTGTTGAACCGAGCCTATGGGTGGGGGGGACACCCTGAGCTGGCATCTTTCTCTACAGAGAGATTTTAGCAAATACTTTTCTCACCCATGAATTTCTTTTTTGGTTGATTTTTATGGTTTTCCCTTTACTTAGAAAATGAGATTGCAACTACTCCTGGTAATGATTTAGTAGTTCCTTTTCATTTCAGTTTTTGTAAATTAGGAGACAATTCTAAAAGTTACTAAAGGATGATTTATTTAAGAGAACTCCGTCAAATAGTGAATGAGTTACGGGTAACATTAGATGAAAATAGCCTTTCCCATGGGAAAGGTTTCTCGAAGGCATGGATGCAAATAGAAAATAATATAAAAAAACTACATAAAGCTTATTTTTGAAAAAAGTATAAAACTCACTTGTAAAGGTAAATGTATAGTCAAATTCAGAATACTCTAATAGTATAATGATTGTATGTAAATAAATGTATCTCTAATATAAAGGTTAAAAAGACAACACAATTAAAAAATAATAGTATTAGATGGAAGGACGCATTGCCTGGGGAAATGGCCTAGGTTTTTTTGCCATGTGGGCTTTCAAGTTTCCCTGCATGAAGAGTCACACAACCTCTTTATATTATGCTGGGTAAATTTTCAGGCTGCTAAATCCTTGGGTGAAGCTTAAAATTTTAGCTTATGCAACTTAAGTCCATTGCAAAATGAGACATATTTACACTGTTTACACAGTAATTTAGGCTGCATAGTCTTGTGGTGAATGTGAATGAGGATTTTAGGTTTGCTTCAGTGTATATTTTTATTTATGTGACTTATACAACGTGGCATAGTAGTCTGTTTTAATTTGTTAGGTATATCGATATTATATTAGATTTAAAATAAGAGTCTAGTGCTGGATTCAAACTCAGTTTGTTTCATTGTTTTAGAACCATGTGGGAATGAAGACTCCCACTGAAATGAATGTTCTAAATCTTTTAATTTTTGTTTAATAATTTCTGGTGAATATGTGTTCAATCTGTTATGTTAAATAGAATAGAATAAACATAAGATCTTACTGATACATCACTGAAAAAAAATAATAGTAATAATTTGCTAAGGGATGCACAATATAAAACTATGTAAATTGTGACATCAAAAACATAAAATATGGGGGTTGGAGGTGATGTCTAGAATTTTTATGTGATAGAGGTTTACCAGCTTAAAACAGATTGTAACTATAATGCTTTATGTAAGCCCTATGGTAACGATAAAGCAAAACAGCTACAGCAGATACTCAAAGACAAAGGAATCAAAACATAGGACTACAGAAAACCATCAAATGAAAAAAAGACAGCAAGAGAGGCTGGGTGTGGTAACTCACGCCTGTAATCCTAGCACTTTGGGATACCAAGGCAAACGGATCACCTGAGCTCAGGTGTTCAAGACCACAGCCTGGCAACATCATGAGACCCCATTTCAAGTAAAAATACAAAAATTAGCCGGGTGTGGTGGTGCTTGCCTGTAGTTGCAGCTACCTGAGGGGATGAGGTAGGAGGATTGCTTGTACACAGGAGGTTGAGGCTGCAGTGAGCTGAGACTGCACCACGTTACTCTACCCTGGGTGACAAAGTGAGACCCTATCTCAAAAACAAAACAAACAAGAGAGAAGGAACAAAGGCTCATAAACAAAATAAAACACAAAATGGTGGTATATCCTTACCTATCCATAATTACCTTGAATGTAAATGGACTAAATTCACCAATCAAAGGACAAGAAGTGGCTGAATGGATACTGAAATAAGATCAAACTATATGCTGCCTATAAAAACTTACTTTAGCTTTAAGGACTACTGTGTTCTCTCTCTCTCATCTCTTATGGTGACGTGAACACTGAATTTTGCTTTTTCCAAGGATGTTACCAAAGCATATGATACAAATGGAAAAGTAATGGGCTGAGCTCCCAACTCCCCATTAAAAAGATGTGGATATAAAGTATTGGTGAGGGAAAAAGGTTTAGCAGTTTAAATTGATGGCAACTTGATGGTTTTTGTTGCATAATTACATATATAAATTTCAATATTTGTTTTCCTATACGTTGTGGCTATTGTCTTTTTTTTTTCCCTATTCCAGTCATTTTGATAGACAAATAAATTACACTAACAAATGAAATACTGCCGGTCTCATCACTCAGCTCAACTTCACCTCACCTCACCAGTACTGTCATATCCATATCACTGATAAAAATGTTTCCCTTAGGAATATGGAATGGCATCTATGAATTGAGTTCAGTCTCCTCTCAGAATCCTTGTTAAAATTCTACACTTAACTCAGAAGAGTTCCCAAGATGTGGCCCAAGTCATGCCCCCATGAACTCTACACACTGGCAGGGTTCCCTTTACCACTTGAAATGATGGTGGTTATTTTTTCAGGTCCTGACATGTGTGAAGAATGTTTAGTCCATTTTGTGTTAACAGAACACCAGAAACTGCAGAGCTTATAAATAAAAGTTTATGAAAAAAAACACTTTTGGAGGCTAGAAAGTCCAAGATCAAGGGGCCGCATGTGGTGAGAGACTTCTTGCTACATCATAACATGGCAGAAGGCATCACATTTAAGAGTGTACCCATGAGAAAGCACAAGAGGGCTCAACTTGCTTTTATAACAAAGTCGCTGTCTTGATAATAAACCCACTCGTGTGAGAGAAATTAATCCATTCATGATGGGAAAGCACTCATGACCTAATTGTCTCTTAAAGATTTCATATCTGAACTCTGTTGCATTAGGAATTAAGTTTCCAGCACATGAACTTTGGGGAACACATTCAAACCATAGCGAATGTGAAACTTCATTCTTTTTGCCCACGATGAGGGCCAACTCAGCTGCCAGTCTCTGAATCCTCTTCTCTTTTGGAAATTGTTGTGATGTGATTCTACTGTCTAGATAACTCAATGCAGTTTCTGTGTAAAATGCATCATGGGACACAACTGAAATCACCTCCTGTGTAACATGGAAACTGAACTCAAGGCAAGAGTGGCCATTATATGCTGAAAAAAGCTAAGTGGTGGGTGTGTGCAATTCTTCAATACTTGAAATAATTTTTCTCTAGAGTATTTATACATCTGCTGTGTAACTTCTATCCGGGAGTATAACAAAAAACCCAAGGTTGACAGTACTCCAGCTTAGTTCTGGATTCTTCAAACTTCTAGCAGAGAGAAGCTGGAGATGCATGAAGTCATGCCCAAACTTTTTGTGGAAAAGCAATTTGTTGGGAACTCAACAGTTATAAACTGGGCTAAGTCCTTTAGCCAGTTGACAGGAGAATAAAAGGCTTGAGATTTAAAAATTTTCAGAAACAATCTCATCAGAGAGTTTAAGAAAAATTGATGCTACTATAGTATGAGGAACTCCAACACCCCCACCACATCGTGGAAGAATCTCCTTTAGGCCTAATTTATCTTTTTTATTTTTGTTTAGGCCCTTTTAAGGAGCATAGGCATTTATTTTCTTTTTTAAAAAAAATAATACTGGTAAAATATTTAATGCCGATAATTACCTATTGCTCACTTATTAAGGAACTGACACAGATTAACTCAGAAAACTCCATCAAAAAGGATTATAGGTAATTACCCGCATCATGGTGATGAGGAAACTGAGACGTATTCAAGGAGAACTGACTCTCCCAGGTCACAGCCATATGGGAAGAAAGGGAATGAATACTCAAGCACTGATGTCAATAAGCCGTTTAGTAAACTGAGAATCTACTAGGTTTCATAACATATTGGGGACCCTAAACTCACTTTTATTATTTTAAGAGTTAACTGTATAGAAGTGTACTTTGTGCAACATATACAAATTTTTACTATATTTCGATGGGTTCTAAAAATTTATACAGCTTTGTAAACATCACCATTTATATATGGAACATTCCACCATAAAAAATTCCTTTCTTCCTCTCACCAGTGGATCCTCACACCCACTGCGCCCAGCCTTAGGCAATGAATGGTCTACTTTCTTTCTATCCTTCTAGTTTAGATGTCTTTCCTAGGATTTTATATAAATAGACATAATACAGTCTACCCTCTTGACCTGGCTTCTTTTGCTCAGCACAGTCTTAAGATCTATCAGTGGTGCTGCATGCATTAGTAGCTCCTTCTTCGTACTGCTGTATTCCATTACACAGTAAAATTACTGTTGATATGTTTTTCTGTTGATATTCTAATTATTTACAATTTGGGGTTGAGTAAAGATTCTATGAACATTTGCATATAATTCTTTGTGTTTCTCTGGGGTAAATGCCTAGATGAAAATTGCTGGTTGTAGGTAAAGTATTGTCATCTTTACAAGAAGCTATGAAATGGATGTGTACTGCTGTCACACGAACATGCACTTTCTTGCTGACCAAAGCTTTGGACATTATTTCTAGTATTTATTGGCCAACTATATATCTTTAGTGAAATATCTATTTTAACATTTTCCTTTTTTGGTCCATTATAACTGCACTGTCTGTATTATAAACATTCTTAATTTTTCCTTTAAGAAACAGAGTCTTGCTCAGTTGCCCAGGCTGGAGTACAGTGGCATGATCATAGCTCACCACAGCCTCAAAGTCCTGGGCACAAGCAATCCTCCCACCCCAGCCTCCCAAGAAGCTAGGACTAGGAGTATAGGCATGTGCCACTATGCTTCATTATTTTTTGTAGAGATGAGGTCTCATTATATTGTCCAGGATGGCCTTGAACTCCCGGCTTCAAACAATCCTCCTGCTTTGGCCTCCTGAGGTGCTAGGATTACACAGGTGAGCCACCATACCCAGTCAGTTTCTTTGATTTTCTAACATAAATTTTGAACTTTAGGTGATTTTGTTTGGATCTGTGATTTATTTTGAGTAAGTCTTAAATTATGGTGTAAAGATCAAGTTGCATTTACAATATATAAGTATCATTACTGATACAGTTTGGCTGTCTCCACCAAAATCCCATCTTGAATTGTAATCCCTAAATCCCCACATGTCAAGGGTGGGACCAGCTGGAGGTAACTGGATCATGGGGGGCAGTTTTCCCCATGCTGTTCTTGTGACAGTGAGTGAATCTCATCAGAGCTGATGGTTTTATGGCATCTGGCATTTCCCCTGTGTGCACTCATTCCATCCCACTGCCCTGCAAAAAAGGTGCCTGCTTCTCCTTTGCCTTGTCCCGACTATAAGTCTCCTGAGGCCTCCTCAGCCATGCGGAACTGTGAGTCAATTAAATCTCTTTACAAATTACTCAAATTACTCAGTCTCCGGTATTTCTTCATACCAGTGTGAGAATGGTCTAATGCAATTATCATAGCATCATTTTTGAAAATAATAATTTCCCCATCAAATTACCCTGGAACATTTGTCAAAAAACAACTGAGGATGTTCAGTTATAACTCAGAGAAATATAGAGCAGGAAAGAGCACTGCTTCCATCCATAAACCAAGAAGACAGCTGGGAAGACTTTAATTTTTCTTCAATGCACCCGGTATCTGAGGTCACAGAGCAAAAAAAAACTATCTTGAAAACTAGGTGGTTGTAGAGAGAAACGAAGATCCAAGAAGTAGTTTAACTGAGAGAGAATGCCAACTGCCATATAAAGTGACTCCAGTGGGAAAACCAGACAACATGCCTTATCAGAGAACTGTGGCAAAGAGGTCAAAACTATAATAAAATTTAAATGCTAAAAATGAAAAACAAAGCACCATGAATGAAGAATGCCTCCCAAGGGTCCATTACTACACTCAACACTGCTAGGAAAGAATCAGTGATATAAGTTATATATATATAATTTCCTTATATATGATTATATATACATAAAATTTCCTTATATATTTGTGTGTGAGACACACACACACACACACACACACAGAGAGAGAGAGAGAGAAAGAAGAGAGAGAAAGAAATGTATTGGTGACACTGGCTTCTTTGAAAAGAGGCAGTTTAGTAACAATGGCCTTTACTAGACAGACACATCAGAAGGCAGCAGGAGACAGGAATGTGGTATCAGTAAAAACCCTTCTGTACAAGGTTTGTTATTAATACTCATGTGGCAAATTGTGGCTGACGTCAGAGTAGTTATAAAGCAAGATGAACACAATTCTCTTAAGTGATGTTGAGTTCTAAGATACGTAAAACAAATACATGATAAGTAGCATGCACATATACGAACATAAACAATAATTCACAAAATATTCACGTTTGCAACGCTGCTTTTCAGTTTATGCAGTTTATTTCTTGTTCATTTTAGGCTTTTTATGATAGTGAATGTCTACCAATGTTACTTCATTAAAGGTTTTGATACTATATATGAAACAACAGTTCTCATATAGCAATACCTAGATAAAGGCTTTACTTACCTTTCTCAAACTGATAGATTTTCCCCTTGTAACAAGCTCTGATATAAAATATGATAATTTTTGAAAACTTTTACACATTCAAAACTAAATTATCAGATATTTAATGGGATTTTTGGTATGTATGTGTGACTGTGTGTGTCTGTGTGTGTGTGAAGAATTTCCTTCATTTGTTAAAATGTCAGATTTTGTCTGATATTACCTGACTGATGTGTAAGACTTGGAGATAGAAGCTATGGTCATTCAGGATGCTGTTGGAGGTTTGTTCTATGTGACTTTTCTGACATACACTGAGTTCAGACATCCTGAAAAATCATACTCATATGTTTTATTATGTGAGTATTGTTGAGTTTCTGTCAGTATCAAGTATACCGAGACCTTTAGAAGCTCAGGAGGGAACAAATTTATTTCCTCACTGCAAAAAGTCCAACTGTGTACATTGAGGAGAAAACTCCATGCCACAGGGTCCTTCTCTGACCTTGATTCCTACAATCTTGTTTTCCATCGTCAGAGCCTGAGTCCCAAGGTTTTCCTCCATTTCATTCTAATGAGGGACAGAAGAAAATATTGACAATTTGACTGATGTATTTAAGACCTGTCTGCAATTGACCCCAATATTCCATTAGCTAGAGGGTAACAATATGACCCCATTTAGATGATAGAGTGGTTGAGCATTTAGGCCAGGTGCGGCATGAGGGAGAAGTGAAAATGATTACTAGTAAACATTTCAATAGTTATTAAATAGGGATTACCTCTGTGTAAGTTAAAATGAGGATTGACATGGCAGAAGAATTTCCCACATCCATTATCTTCATTTCTTGCTTAATATACGATGAGGTCTCTATCCTGTATGTATTTTCTACTGTACTGACTTCTGGCTAAAGTTTATCACACACTTTTTATATTCTAGCTTTCCTCATTGTGTGACTTCTTTGATTATGAATGAGTTTTGATTGCTGGCACAAAGTTTTCACATTTTTACTTTCTCAGAGCTTTTCTGCAGCATGAGTTTTCTGAGGAATGAGTTCACAAAAGTATTTTCCATATTCATTATCTTTATAGGGTTTTTTTGCTGGGTGAGCTCTCTAATATCCATGGAAGATTGCACTCTGGCTGACAGAATTTCCATGTAAAATACATTTCAACAATTTATCTCCTAAGTTCTTTGATGTTCGGTGGAGGCTGAAATTGTAGAAGAAATTGCAATGCTCACTACATTAACAGTTCTCTTCTGTGGTTCATTTATGTATTGTGAAGTTTGATTTCCAGCTCAGAGTTTTTTCATATTCTTTATATGCACATGTTTAATCCCCTGAGTGGGCTTTCTGATGCTCTCTAAGGCTTGATTTTTGACTGAAAGTTTTCCCACATTTATCACATTTATAGGGTTTCTCCCCTGTGTGAGTTCTCTGATGTACTCTGAGATTTGATTTCTGAGTGAAAGCTTCCCCACACTGATTACAATTAAATGGTTTCTCCCCAGTGTGAGTTCGCTGATGTTTTCTTAGGACTGACTTCTCACTGAAAGCTTTTCCACATTCATTACATTCATAGGGCTTCTCCCCAGTGTGAGTTCTCTGATGCCCTCTGAGATTTGATTTCTGCCTGAAAGTTTTTCCACATTCCTCACATTTATAAGGTTTCTCCCCAGTATGAGTTCTGTGATGGACTCTGAGGTTTGATTTTTGACTGAAAGCTTCCCCACAATGATTACATTTATAGGGTTTTTCCCCTGTGTGAATTCTATGATGTCCTCTCAGTTGTGATTTCTGACCAAAAGCTTTTCCACACTGATTACATTTGTAGGGCTTCTCCCCTGTGTGTGTTCTATGATGTTTTCTTAGGCCTGATTTCAGTTTGAATGCTTTCCCACATTCATCACATTTATATGGTCTTTCCCCTGTGTGAGTTCTTCGATGATTCCTTAGGCCTGACATATGGCTGAAAGATTTCCCACATTCACTACATTCAAAAGGTTTCTCCCCTGTGTGAGTTCTCTGATGTACTATGAGGATTGACTTATAGTTAAAAGACTTCCCACATTCATTACATTCAAATGGTTTCTCTCCTGTGTGGGTTCTCTGGTGTATTCTTAGGCCTGACTTTGCACTGAAAGTTTTTTCACATTCATCACATTTATATGGTTTCTCACCTGTGTGAGTTCTCTGATGTTTTCTTAGGCGTGACTTTTCACTGAAGGCTTTCCCGCATTCATGACATTCATAGGGTTTCTCCCCTGTGTGACTTTTCTGAGGCCAAATCAAGCGTGAATTCATAGAGCAGGATTTGCCACATTCATTACACTCATAGGGTTTTGCCCTTATGTGAGCTTTCTGATGTACACTGAAAGTTGACTGGTAGCTGAATGTCTCTGTACATGTGTTATAATCAGATGATTTATCTGTTGCATGAGTTCCCTGATGCACTGGGAGGGCTGAATTATGGTTGAAACTTTTTCCATATTCAAAGGGTTTCATCCCTATATGAATTCTATGATGGTCTCTAATGTGTGACTTTGGGCTGAAAGATTTCCCTTCTGTATCAGTTTTGAGAGTGATCCTACAGAAACAATTTCCAGCATCTTTAAACTCATAGTGACTCTTCTCTTGATGAATGTTCTGAGGAATAATAAAGGTTGATTTCTCATATTTGTTTTCCCCAAATTTATTGAAGTTGTAAGATTTTCCTTTATGGTGGGTACTATTAGATGTAACAAGGGCAGCCTTTTCAAGAAAAGCTTTTCTACTTTCATTATATTCAAAATCCTTCCCCAAAGTCTGAATTATCTGATGTTGAATAACTTTCTCATTAGGACTGAGGGTTTTCACAATTTTACTGTAAGTGAAAGATTTCTCTTGAGTGTTAGTTCTGCCATCCTTAATACTGACAAGACATTTGTCACATACATTATGCTCATGAGCCTTTTCTTTTGAATATTGACAGTGTGGGGCCAGTGGGCTCAGACTCTGGTAAGCAGACCCCGCAGTGTCACATTTACAAGGCATCATCATTCTGGCAGGAAAAATGTTTATGTCCTGATTATGTGGTTTTCCTGAAATTTCTTGCTCTGCAGTCAATAATTTATTGGTGAATAAAACTTGCCACAAATATTTGCCTTGATTTTCTTGACTCTTCTCTGAGATTTCATCAGGTTGGGAGTTTTCTAAAAATGATAAAATTAAACAAACTTTATGATATTTAACACATTTCTTATGGAATGAAATATACATCTATATATGTGCCCTATTATGTATTTGATTCCTTAGTTTCTGGCTCGGTTTCCCAGCAATAAAGTAATTTCAAGTACACATTCCTTATATTCCCTTTTTAGTTTAAAATCTCTTTTTGTAGTAGAAAAAGAAATGGGAAACAAATATACATATGTATTTGGCATCTTAAAACAGAATTTCAAAATTGAAGAGAGAAGAATGAAATGACTAAAAATGGTGTATATGTAAGAGCACTGGATCCTGGAAACAGGCAAATCAGAGAATGGGATGAATAAAAAAAGGATTATCAACACGAAGTAGATAATAACAACAAAAATCAATGGATTAGTGGTTTTATCTGAGACAGGGTTTACTTTAGGGAGTAACACTAGATTCTTAAAGAAACATAAATTGCAATGGTAGGATAATCATTAGCCTACAGTAGTCCATCAGAGCTCCATTTCCATTCTACACATCAACACAAAATCAATTTATAATGGCACCAATTTCCTCACGTTAAAAGAAATAGTACTATAGACCACATTTTAATTCTATCTGTAGTATCATCAAAGGAACACAAATGTGTAAGTGGAAACATAAAATTGATGGGAATTAAAGTCATTTTTCTACCTAAATTGGATTCACTGCTCTGCCCTAGCTCTGGTGACTTCGTTTATTATATCAGGGTTGTTCAATACTGAATTCTTTTTGTTTTTTGAGATGGAGTCTCACTCTGTCTCCCAGGCTAAAGTATAGTTGTGTGATCTCAGCTCACTGCAACCTCTGCCTTCTGGGCTCAAGCAATTCTCCTGTCTCAGCCTCCTGAGTAGCTGGGATCACAGGCATGTAACATCATGCCCAGCTAATTTTTGTATTTTTAGTAGAGACAGGGTTTTGCCATGTTGGCCAGGTTGGTCTCAAACTCCTGACCTTAGGTGATCTGCCAGTCTCTGCCTCCCAAAATGCTAGAATTACAGGCGTGAGCCACCACACCTAGCCAATAGTGAATCTTTTTAGATCCTCAAGTCTTAACTTTTGTCTTTTCAATTTGGTCACTCATTTCCCCCAAACGAGTCTTGTTTTTGTCTAATCCTTAATTCTGCTTTCCATCTACTTTTTAACATTGCTAGTTTTTACTGACTGTGAGAACCTTAAGGATCATATATTTTAACCTGGGCTTAGAAACTTTACAAGTATTCTTTATATTTATTTATCATAAATGTCTTGTGTATATTTGACTGCTGTTGTCTTACTGCTACCCACATTCCATGCAAAAATGTCAGCCCTGTGCTAAAAATATTCCAAGGCCTTAAATACACTGCCCTAGTAACCTGAGCGATATTCAGGAAAAGGAGACTTTACACTAACCGTAGGCTTATTACATGTTCTAACTCTCATTGCAATAGCTCACAGTCTTTTCTGCTCTAATCTTGACAGGATGTCATCAGCAAATAGTTTTTTTCTATTTTTCTAAAATAATAATAATACTATTTTCAGCAATAATCTTATATTCTTTCCCTGAACCTCTTTGCTTTTTAGTCTTAGACCTATGTAGACTCTGGATGCCCTTCAGGCAATGCTGAGCACTTCCCAAACTACACACAAAAAAAAGGCTTCTTGTGTCTTCCCACAAACGTAAGGAACATTTATTTAAAATCTGAAAGTAGTTACTGCCTATATTATTCATTTTAACAAGGGATATATGGATAGTACTCATATATCTGACATGATTTTTTTAAGCAAGTTACCATGATTCAAATTAGGAAGCATTTTAAAACTTACAGCATCTGCACAGTTAAATGGCATTTTCTCTTTCTTGGTTGTATGTAAAATAATAGTTCACTTTTTAATCAAGAGCAAAATTATTTTAAGCACCTTTGTTCTCTTTTCCAAAATACAAGCTTCATTCTGATATACTTTATACTCTGTAATAGAAATGAAGTCAGTGACTCTTAAAAAGCAGTGTGCCTCAAAATTACCTCCTCTCTCCTACACAAGTGCTCAGACTCAATGCTAACCTACACCCGATTACTCAAAAGTCTCAGAAATTTGACTTGGGTGTTTGCATTTAGGGGTAATGTTTTTTGAATAAATCAATATGAAATACTTCTTCCAGGTGGCTTTGAAGTTAATACACAATATTATTAAAAATACTTACATGTTATATTGCATGAACTCAATATATGGAAGAGCAAAGCAGAGAACCATTCTTTTTAGTGGATTATAATCCAGGTGGGAATGGAGCTCATTCAATAACTGTGTGCTCTCTGGCACAGTGTTTCACTTTGTTTTAATACATTATCAAAGATTGTGATTTTACAGAAAGAAGAGATATACAAGAAAGTATTCCAAACTGTACCCTAGAAGAAGGAATTTAAATCAAAACTTTAAATTAGAGTACCCTTTTTCTAGTTGAGATTATCTATTTTAATCAATTATTTTTATTCCAAGAACCACTTTTGGCTTTAAAATTTATACTGCTGTAGTCTTATTTTTATTACATCTTAAACTTTCTCACTTTTAAAAACAAGTATAAGACTAAAATCTTTGTGTGTCTTTCTCTCGACATGGTTTTCACCATGTTGGCCAGCCTGGTCTCGAACTCCTGACCTCTGGTGATCCACCCGCCTCAGCCTCACAAAGTGCTTGGATTATAGGCGTGAGCCACAACGCCTGGCCAACTAAAAGTTTTTTCTAAGCACTGCTTTATCTATATCCCAAAGGTTCTAATATGCATGTTTTTTACCTTTGAAATTTTCTGGATATTGGACAATTTTGATTTTCATTTACTCTTTTATTAAATATGTTTTAAAAGATATATATAGATATAGATATATTCCATATTGATTTTAAGATAGAGATACTTTAATTCTTCTCATATTGTTTGCAGTTTGTAGTTTTACTGGACAATAATATTTTTACTTTGTGGAATCTATTAATATTTGCATGAAATATTTTTATATATTGTCAATGTCCCATGGTCATTTAAAGAGGGTTTATTCTTTGTTTCCAGAGTAGAGTTTTGAAAGACACATCAGATTCATTTTTATAAAATGTGTTATTTATAACTTCTAGTGCAGGAGTCAGTAAAATATTTCCATACAGGGCCAGAGAGTAAATGCTTTCCACTGCACTGATCGTGTGGTCTCTGTTGCAACTACTCAATTCTGCCTTGTAACATGAGCACCGAAATGAATAGCTATGGCTGTGTTCTAGATAAATCTTTCCTGACCAAAATAGGCAACAGGTAGAATCTCACCTTTGTCCTTGTTTGCTGAGCACTAGTCTAGGATCTTAGCTGTGATCCACTGGCTCTGATATGAAATCAAAGAGGTAAATTAAAGTCTATGCTACCTAATGTGTTTCCATTTTTCCTCAGAACACTTGCAGTTTTTTATTTTATGAAACCTGATAAGTTAGTGCACAAATATTCAAAACTCTTGAATATATTTTAATTTGTCTACTTTAAAAATATCCTTTTAAAACTGTCTACTTTAGCATTATCAAAATGCTATTTCTCTTCTCTATTTTTTGACCTGAATTTAACTTTAGTGTTAGTTAGCTATTGAGTTTATAAAAAGAAGAGCTAAAGTATAGGATAAAGTATTCCAAGATTATGTTATGTAAGCAAATAAACACAGAATTATTTTAGTTTATTGCCATAGCAATTCATAACCATATTTTGAACTCAACAGATTATTTTTTAAATATACCTCTTTAACAAAATCGAATAGCATTTTCTCTTAGTAGGTGAATTTATTCCACTTACATTAGTTGATATGGCAAATATATTTATCTTACTCTATGTTATGCCAGGGATTTGCATAGTTTTTGTGCACATAGGAGGCCTGAGACAGCTATTCTGAGAAAGGCTTTCTTCAAAGATTTGCCCTTAGCTGGCATCTAGAAACAAGATTCCCATAACTGCTGGGGAGCTCACTGTGCTAGTTCTGTTCAAATGATAGAGAACAGCAGTTTTCCATCTCAAACTCTGGAATTTTGGTACATGCTAGATAGAGGGTGTCTACATCGTTAGCCCACAATAAAAACCCTGGGCACCAATTCTGGGGAGAAAACATTTCATGTGTGTTTTCAGAATTCATTGCTTAGGGAACTGTGCTTGGGAAACTGCATGAACTCTCAGAAACTTCTTGTTAGTTTCCTATGAACTCTGCCCCATCTTTGCTGATTTTTCTTTGTATCTCTTCACTGTATAAATTTTAACCATTATTAATTAGCTGGGCACGGTGGCGCTTGCCTGTAATCCCAGCTACTCAGGAGGCTGAGGCAGGAGAATTGCCTGAACCCAGGAGGCGGAGGTTGCAGTGAGCCGAGATCGCGCCATTGCACTCCAGCCTGGGTAACAAGAGTGAAACTCCGTCTCAAAAAAAAAAAAAAATTTTAACCATTATTATGACTATATGCTGAATTGTGTTGAGTTCTCTTAGTCAATCAATGAACCGTCTGCTCATTGAATTCAATAACTCACCTGGGGAGGTCCTGCTTAGAAATCCCTTCTCTTTCTCTAATAACCATGGATCTTCTCCTTGCTCCAACGTGAAGATCAGTTCTGGTTTTGTAAAGCAGTATCCTATAATGGGAAATAATTTATCAATTGCATTACTTGCATAGGTCCTACTGTTTCTGAATGTGAAAAAGGTACAACTTTCGTCTACATAAAAGCTATGCAAATTCAGCTAGGCATATTAAGGGTGCTCACTGGACCTTCTTTGGGGAAATAACAACAAAAAACATTTCTTTATTTTCTTACTTTTTCTCTTTTTTTTTTTAGATACAGGGTCTCTGTGTCACTCAGTCTGAAGTGCAGTGGTGTGACCATGGCTCACTGCAGCCTCAAACTCCTGGGGTCAAGTAATCCTCCTGCTTCAGCCTCCTGAGTAGCTGGGACTACAGGTAGGCACCACCATACCTGGGCTTTTTTTGTAAAGACAAGAGTCTAACTATTTTACCTAGGCTAGTCTTGAACTCCTGGCCTCAAGCAATCCTCTCACCCTGGCCTCCTAAAGTGGCTCATGCCACTGCACCTGGCCAAAAAACATTTTCTTATTCTCATAAATGATCAATCTCCTTGAACTCCTAAACTGCAGACCTAAATAACATAAATTTGAAAATGGCCAATGTCTTGGGTGTCAAGGAAGAGATTTCATGAGGACTTCCACATATGGCCATAATAGGGTAAAAGGAACTGATTTACTGCTCCACAACATATCTCTAAAAAACCACACAAAATATAAAAATGGTAATTAGGTTTCAGCCAAGAGGCAATGCAGGTGGTGAATCAGAAGGACTGCCTGAGGCTGGGAGTTCAAGACCAGCCTGGGCAACACAAAGAGACTGGAAAATAATAAACAGAGTTATCTGTGACCTGTGGTTAAATAAATGTGTAGTCTAACATATGTGTAATCAGCATTCCTGAAGAAAAAAAGGAAAAGGAGAAGAAATGTTGAAGAAACGGTGGCCAAAATTTTCTAATTTTAGTGATGTGTATAAACTGTCACATCCAAGAAGCTAAATAAATGCCAAGAAGAAGCAAAGAAAATCACAGCAAATGTACATTATGATCAAATTGCCAAAAACCGCTGATAAAAGTAAATTTTATGCAGACAGAAAAAGACATGTGCGGAACAAAAAGAATTAAAACTGACTTCTTGTTAGAAATTTTATAGTCTGGAAGACAATGAAGTGACACTTAAAATACTGAAAGAAAAAACAAAATCAACCTAAAATTCCATACTTAGCAAAGGTAAGATGTTTCAGATTTAAAAAAAAAAAAGCTGAAACAACGTATCAGCAACTGATGTGTATTACAAGAAATTTAAATTTTCCAGATAGAAGAAAAATGGTACTATGGAAATTTTTGATTTATATGAAAAGTTTAGAGATAAAGACAACCATAAACTGAAAAAAGAAAATGAAAATAAAATACACTTTTCTCATTTTTGGAATTCTTTTCTTTAAATAGTATATTATCTTTCAAGTTATCTTTTTAAATGATGTTATTTATTATGGGTTTATAATACATAAGTAGCACACATAAAAATAAATTATGCATAATGATAAAGGGAATAATTAACCAAGAGGATATAACAATCACAAATGTTCTTCTATCTCATATTACTTCAAAATACATAAAGCAAACCCTGATGAAACTGGAAGAATAACCAAATCCAAAATTGTAGCTGGACAGTAAACCTCTTTTCTCAATAATTTATGGAAGTAGATTACAAATAAATAAGGAGTACAGAAGACTTGAAGAATATTATCAACCAACACGATCTCCATTTATAGAACATTGATCCGAAAGGAAAACACATTATTTTCAAATACATATGGAACATTTAACCAAGATAAATAATACAATGGGCCCTGAAATGAGTTTAAATAAACTTTAAAAGGATTAAAAAATGTTGCTCTCCAAATAGGAATTAAATTAGAAATCAATAATAGTAAAGCAATCTTCAAACAGCCAAAAATTTAAAATAAAAAAGCCATGTTCTATTAGAAATATGGAGTAGAGGTACTTTCTCCTAGCCTTTCTGGTAAGTATAGCTAAAAACTATGGATATTATATATTTAAAAACATACTGAAAGGTAGAGAGAAGACAGCAGATTGTTCAGGGACCTTCGGACTCAAGGAATGACAATGATGAGTTCCCTGCATCTACTCTTTGGCCTCATATATTCCAAATTAGAAGCTGGAGAAGCTGGCAATAAGCAACATGAATGGGAAGGTGAAAAAACAAAACAAAACATAAAACCCAAAGCTTGTGCTCTCGAGCCAGAGGTTCAGGAGAGAGACAGCCTATGAAGATTGAAAACCTTTAGACAATAACTGTTCTAATTTCAGCCAAACACAAAATAAAAAACACGTCCTCCACCTCTACTGCTGCCATGAAAGGCCAAGTGGGGAACTCAAGTGTCTATGCTCACCAGGCTGTAAGAAGGCTCCCTTACTCCTCCACCAGGGTTCATGTCAGAGAGGGCTGACTGGGGCCTGAGACATGTCTCCAAGCCAGGCAGTGACAAGGTCCCCTGCCCCACAGTGTCAGTAGAAGCCCTGTGAGGAGCAGTAATGAGGCACCTTCTGATGCAGGGTGTTATCAGTGAAGGCCCAATGGGGATCCTGAACTGCCACCACCATTCAGCAGTAATGACAATCGCCTCCTCCTCCAGGTGCCAACAGAGGCTGAGTAGGAAACTCGTATTTTCAGCCCAACTGTTAATAATAAGACAGCAACCCACCCCTCCCTGCCACAGTGGTGTCAGAGAATGCCTGCTACATGAAAAGATTTCAGTAAGACACAGATATTATAACTTCCAAAATGTATAGGTTCAATCTAAAATTACTTGTCATACCAAGATCTAAGACAACTTCTACTTGGTTGAGTGAAGACAATCAATAGATGCCAACACTGAGATAGCACAGAAGTAGCTGACAAAGACTTTACATAAGCCATCATATAAAAGTTTAAACAAACAATAAGAAACATGAAACAAAAAAACAGAAAGTCTCAGCAAAGAGAGAGAAGATATATGAAGTAGGTATTTTAGAGTTGAAAAATAACTAAATACTCAGTGGGTGGGTTCAACAGCAGAATGAAGAAGACAGAAGAAAGAATCCATGAATTTTAATATAGAAGAGTAGAAACTACCTAATCTGAACAAAGACAACAGACTAAAGCCACAGAGACCTGAGACTATAACACATATCTAATAATTGTGTCATAGAAGTTTCAGAAGGAGAGGAGAAGAGGGAGTGCCTGAAAAGTACCAGAATAAATGATAGCTTACCATGTTAGTGACTGCCATGAGTTAAGGGATAGTAAAAGGAGTCGGGGTGACGTGACTTTATATAAAGGGGCAGGACAAAGCTCTTTGTGGTGACTGAATAGTTCTGTTTATTTGACTATAGTTGTGGTTACATCAATCTGTACATATGATAAATGACACAGAACTATACACCTGTTGGCCAGTGTGAGCTTCCTGGTGCTGACATTGTACTACAGTTGCATAAGATGTATGTCTTGGAACGCTGAAGCATTTAGAAAATTGCTGTCTTCTTAGAAGACTGACATGTAACATCACTCTGTTACCAGTAATTTTCTGTGCTCTGAAGTCTACTTTTTCTGATATTAACATAGCCAATCCTACTTTTTTATGGTAATGTTCCATGGTATACCTTCTTCTATTCTTTTACTTTCAATCTACCTATAATTTTTAAAGTAAATTTCTTGTAGATGGCATATATTTAGGTGAATTTTAAAAATCAACTCTTTCAATCCATATTATTATTATATTATACTTTAAGTTCTAGAGTCCATGTGCATTCTGGAGTCCATAATGAATATGCATATTCATTACATAGGTATACACGTGCCATGGTGGTTTGCTACATCCATCCCCCGTCATCTACATTAGTTATTTCTCCTAATGTTAGCCCTCCCCAGTCACCCCACCCCCTCCTATCCCTCTCCTAGACTCCCCATCCCACAACAGGCTGTGGTGTGTGATGTTCCCCTCCCTGTGTCCATGTGTTCTCATTGTTCAACACCCATCTATGAGTGAGAACATGTGGCATTTGATTTTCTGTTCTTGTGTCAGTTTGCTGAGAATGGTGGTTTCCAGCTTCACCCATGTCCCTGCAAAGGACATGAACTCATCCTTTTTTATGGCCGCATAGTATTCCATGGTGTATAAGTGCCACACTTTCTTTATCCAGTCTATCTCTGATGGGCATTTGGGTTGGTTCCAAGTTTTTGCTATTGTGAACAGTGCCGCAATAAACATGAACGGTGCCGCATGTGTCTTTATAGTTGAATGTTTTATAATCCTTTGTGTATATACCCAGTAATGGGATTGCTGGGTCAAATGGTATTTCTAGTTCTAGATCCTTGAGGAATTGCCACGCTGTCTTCCACAATGGTTGTACTAATTTAAACTCCCACCAACCGTGTAAAAGTGTTCCTATTTCTCCACATCCTCTCCAGCATCTGTTGTCTTCTGATTTTTTAATGATCACCATTCTAACTGGTGTGAGATGATATCTCAATGTGGTTTTGATTTGCATATCTCTAATGACCAGTGATGATGAGTTTTTCTTCATATGTTTGTTGGCTGCATAAATGTCTTCTTTTGAAAAATGTCTGTTCATATCCTTCACCCACTTTTTGATGGTGTTGTTTCTTTTCTTGTAAATTTGTTTCAGTTCTTTGTAGATTCAATAATATATATTCACTTGGTCCACTTCCACATCTTGTACCATATTCCTTCTTGCTTTCTTTGTTCCAGGTGTGCTGGTTCTTTTTTAGGACTCTGTACTCACTATCTTCTCTTCTACCTGGGGTCTCTGTGCTTGTACTTTTCTATGCTTAGAATGTTTACATTTCCTTATTTAGCTTACACTTAGACTTCCTTAGAGCTTTTCTCAAGCACCACTTATCACTTTCTTTGAATTTGAAACTTTTCTTTTAAAAAGCAAATTCAGTAAACCCCTCCCCTCATATATCCTTCACCCAGCTTTAAAAACTATCACATTTTTTTTAATACAAATGCTTTCTTGACTTCAGAAACTCTTCAAATTACCCTATGAAAATTGAGGCTGTGCTATTAAATAACTTGAGAACTGCATTGGTGTTTATCAAATAGTGGATATTAACTAGTTGTTAAGTTTTAATTGCATTTCTTCACAGTCTCATACTGTATGAATGAGTGATCAAAGAGGAAGAAATATTAGAAGACATAAATAAGAGACATGTCTTAGTAACCTGATATGCAATTTGTATGATACAGTTAAAGCAGTGCTGAGTTTTTAATGGCACTAAGTGTGTACATTAGAAAAGAGAAAAAGTCTCAAATTAATAGTCCATGATCTCACAATAAAAGACTAGACAAAGAAGAGCACAATAATATAAGCAAAAGAAAAAGTAGAAAGTGGAAATTAATTAAATTTAAAAAAATAGAAAAATCAATGAGAGAAAAATCTAGTTGACTGAAAAGAGCAGTAACATTGTAAAACTTCTAGGAAGAGTGAACAAAAAAATAAAAGAGCAAGAAGACAGAAATGACCAATATAAAGAAGAAAACAGGTCTATAAATACAGATCCTCAAGACATCAAAATGATAATAATGGAATGGTCTGAATACCTTTACACATATAAACCTGACAACTTAGATAAAGTGGACTAATTGTCAGAAAAGCAAAAATACCACAATTCACCCAATAGAAATAATTTGAGTATCCATATATATGACTTAAAGGAATTGATTTGTAAAACTTCCCAAAAAGATGTCTCTAAGCCCAGATGGTTTCATCAGATAACTCTACCAAACATTTAATGAAGAATAAACACCACTTCTATACAACCTCTTACAGAAGATCTGAAGGAACACTTTTCAGCTAATTTTATGAGGCCAGATTTATCCTGATAGGAAAACTAGATAAAGGTAGTATAAAACTACGGACTGAAGTGCAAAACTACTTAACAAAGTATTAGCAAATAGAATCAAATAAATAAAAAGAATTCTATGACATCACCAAGTAAGGTTTATTCCAAGTATGCAAGGCTGTTTCAACATTTCAAAACTAGTCCACATTAATGTAGTAATGAAGAAAAACCATGTAATCACAGTAGATACATAAAAAGTAATTGACCCGCCAGTCTGGCTCGGCTTGGCTCTGCGTGCCGTGGCAAGCTCGGCTTCCCTGGAGACCATGGTGCCCCCAGCCTGCCCGCGCACAGGAGCGTCGCCAGCCACTTCCAAGACACTGTCCTTCTCCATCGAGCGCATCATGGCCAAGACGTTGGAGCCCCGCAGGCCCTTTGAGCCCTGGCATGGAGCGCCAGAGGCGGATGGCAGCCAGGGCAAGAAACTGCTCAAACTTTGCTCACTGTATGATCTCCCTCCAGCCCCTAGGCTACGAGGTCCCGTCAAAGACACTGCTCAGTTACTCGGAGCTCTGGAAAAGCGGCCTCCGGGCGGGCGGTGGCGGTGGAGAAGGCGGCGGTGGCGGTGGCCGTGGCGGGGTGGGGCCCAGTGTGCGGCGCCAGCGGCTTGTGCAAAACCAACTGTGGCGTGTGCTGCCCGCGGGCAGGGTCATCAAGCCGCAGGTCATCAACCAGGCCATGGGACTGCTGGCCAGCGGCTCGCTCTACTATTTCAACTACCTGGACTCGACCGCGTACCCACTGTCTGAGCTCCTCAGCAGCGACCTCTTCCTTTCTGGCCTCCTCAATGTGCAGGCCCCGCCGCCCTGGCTGCTCACCCCAAGCTCTTTCTGCTGGAAAACGCCAAGCTGGCCCGCCTGGCTGCAGACAAGTTCCCCCATCTGGCTCCCTACCCCCATAAGGAGCGCTTGCCGGCGCCGCTGGAGCAGGTACTGAAGGAGAACTCAGCCCTGACTGCCGAACGCAGAGGCGTTAAGGGCCACAGCAAGCTGCCAGGGGCTCCACAGACGGCAAGCCCAAAAACTTCACCTGCGAGGTGTGTGGCAAGGTGTTTAATGCTCACTATAACCTCACCTGCCACATGCCGGTCCACACCGGAGCCAGACCGTTCGTGTGCCAAGTCTATGGCAAAGGCTTTTGCCAGGCCAGCACGCTCTGCAGGCACAAAATTATACACACTCAGGAAAAGCCGCATAAATGCAACCAGTGTGGCAAAGCGTTCAACCGCAGCTCCACGCTCAACATGCATATCCTCATCCACGCGGGCTACAAGCCCTTCGTCTGTGAATTTTGTGGCAAAGGCTTTCACCAAAAAGGGAACTGCAAGAACCACAAACTGACCACAGTGGCGAGAAGCAGTACAAATATACCATCAGCAACAACGCCTTCCACCAGGTCTACAACCTGACCTTCCATATGCACACCCACAATGACAAGAAGCCTTTCACGTGCGCCACTTGTGGCAAAGCGTTTTGCAGAAACTTTGACTTAAAGAAACATGTGCGCAAACTCCACGACAGCGTGGGCCCTGCTGCCCCCTCCGCAAAGGACCTGACTAGGACAGTGCAGAGCTGAGAGCTACTGCTTTGCCCTTCCTTCTCTCCCTGTACCACCTGAAAACAGATCATACATATAAACTTATTTCTAAAATTAAAAGAAAAGAAAACTATAGCAGAGAGGTGTTATCAAAACCAGCATATTTTTGGAAAGCTAAACGTTTCCTCGATGACTGGCAGCAAACTCGTGGCCCCCCACCTTTGTATATTCAGGAAACTTATTTCAATCTAGGCCTCCGCTTCTCCTAGGGCAGCCAGTTTTAACCCCACCCTGTCACCGTGAGTGCCCCAGAAGATCGCGGTGCCCCTAGCCATCTTTATACAGCCATGTAAATCCTCCTGTACAAGTGAACATGGAATATATACATATATAACTCAATAAACAGATTAGTGTGAAAAAAAGTAACTGACAAGATTCAATATCCATTCATAACCAGTATTCTCAGAAAACTAGGAATACAGTAGGAGTTCCTCCATTTGATGAAGAATATCCACAAAGGACCTGCTAAGATCATTTGGTGAAAGACTAGATGCTTTCCCCTTAAGGTTGTGAACAAGGCAAGGATGACTACTCTTACCACTCTTATTCTACACAGTGCTAGGAGTCCTAGCCAGTATAATACAGCAAGAAAAGGAAATAAAAAGCATACAGATTGGAAAGGAAGATAGTAAACTAACCCTGTACACAGACGACATGATACCTTATGTTAAAAAAGAAAAACCCAAGGAATCTACAAAAACCTTCCTAGAAAGTTCAGCAAGAGCTCAGAATAAAAGAACAAACATACAAAAATCAATTACATTTCTATAAACCAGCAACCTTTGTATGCAAACAGAAATTGAAAACACAATGCCATTAACAATTACTAAACCAAATGAAATACTGACTTCTAAATCTAACATGCATAGGACTTTTATACTGAAAACTACAAAACACTGAAGCAAGAAATCAAGATCTAAGTAAATCGAGAAATATATTGTGTTTATGAATTATAAGACTCAAAACAGTAAAGATGTTAACTGTCACAAAATTGGTAGCTTATGGCCTTAATTCCTATCAAACACCCAGTAAGATTTTCACATAATGAAATTGTTACAGTATGCATATGCAAGGGCAAAGTAACTAAAATAGCTCAAACAATATTGAAAAAGAAATTTAATGTGGGAATATAATAGTTTCATACAAGTACAGCCAACTGATTTTTGAGACAGGTGAAAAAGCTATTCAATGAAGGGTAATGGTGCTGAATAGAGCAAATGGATATCCATAGGTGAAAAAAACCTTAAACTTCATGCCCTATACAAAAATTAACTCAAAATGTACCATAATTTAAATGTTGAATATATTATACAACTTTTTAAAATAGGAGAAAATCCTTGGCCCAAAGACTTAGTGAAGAGTTCTTAGAAATGACAACACTTTTACAAAACTGATAAACTGGACTTCATCAAAATTAAAAACTTATACTCTGCAAAACACCCAATGAAGAGGATGAAAAGACATGGTACAGACTGGCATAAAAATGTACAAACCACACATCTTCTGACAAAGGACTCATATCTAGACTATCTAAATTCTCAAAAGTCAATGGTAAAATACACAAACTTCCAATTAAAAAATGAACAGAAGCCATGAATAGACATTTTACTGTCTAAGGATATATGGATGGCATATGAACAAATGAAAAGATGATTATCAGTAGCCATTAGAGAAATACAAATTAGGACCATTATGAGACATCACTACCTATTCAACCACTAACACCTAAAATAGCAACAATGTCTAGTACCAGAAAGGATAGGGAATAACTGGGTCCCTCATACATTGTGGTGGAAATACGAAATGGTACAGCAACTCTGGGAAATAGTCTGGTACTTTCTTAAAGAATAAAATATGGGCCGGGCGCGGTGGCTCACACCTGTAATCCCAGCACTTTGGGAGGCTGAGGCGGGTGGATCATGAGGTCAAGGGATTGAGACCATCCTGGTCAACATGGTGAAACCCCGTCTCTACTAAAAATACAAAAAATTAGCTGGGCATGGTGGTGCGTGCCTGTAATCCCAGCTACTCAGGAGGCTGAGGCAGGAGAATTGCCTGAACCCAGGAGGCGGAAGTTGCGGTGAGCTGAGATGGCGCCATAGCACTCCAGCCTGGGTTACAAGAGCGAAACTCCGTCTCAAAAAAATTGAAGAATAAAATATAACCTACCATACAATCCAACAATCACACTCCTTTGTACTTATCTCAGAAAAGAAAAGCTTATGTTCACAAAAAAATCTGAACATGAATGTCCACATCAACTTTATAATAGCCCCAAACTGGAACCAACCAAAACGTCCTTCAATAGGTCAATGGCTAAACAATGACAGTCATATAGTGAAATACTAGGTAGCAATAAAAGGAATGAACTATGGATACACTACAACTTGGATCTCAAGAGCATTTTTCTGAGTGAAAAAGCCAGTCTCAACACATCGAATACTGTATGATTCCATTTATATAACAGTCTCAAAATGATGAAACTATAGAGCTAGCAGATTAGTCAGCAGAGATTAAGGACAATGTGGGAGAGGGTATGGATATGACTATAAATGGATAGCACCAAAGAGACCTTTGTGGTGATATAACAGTTCTGTATTATAATTGTAGTGGTTACCTTAAATCTCCACATGTGATAAAATGGCACATTGTACCAGTGTCTATTTACTGGTGTTGATGCTGTATTATAGTTATATAACATGTAACCTTTGGGAGAAACTAAGTTGAGGACATAATTTTTGCTAATTCCCATAAATCTAATTATTTCAATATAAAAATATTTCTTAAAATATATGTAAAAAATTAAAAACTGAAAAGATTTTTCTCTTTAAAAAGGGAACCAAGAGATAGCAAGAAAAAGTCTGTAAAACACACATCTAATAAAGGTCTGAACGTCTGCAACTAAACAAACAATAATATTAAAAACTAAATGAAACAAAAATGAGCTAAAGATTTGATTAGTCACTTAAAGAAGATTCATGAGTGGCTGAAGAGCACATAAAAAGAGGTTCAATGCTGTCAGCCATCAGGAAAATGCAAATTAAAACCCAACTAGAATTGTTAAAAACAATTAGATTTTCCAAATAATGGCGACCAAAGAGTAATGAGAACTCGCAGACATTATTCACGAAAATGAAAAACTGTGGAGCTAATTGGAAAATACTTGGAATTTTTTAATAAAGTTATAGACAGATAAACTTATCAGAAGGCCTGGCAAGCCCACTCCTAGTTACTTACACAAGAGGAATGAAAACATATGTTGACACAAAGACTTGTTGTGAAAGTTCACAGCAGCTTTATTCATAAAAGCCCCAACTGGGGAAAAAAAATACGTTTACCAACTGATAAAGGGTAACAAATTACAGTATATGCCCACAAAGGAGCAATACTTAGGATAAAATAAACCATTTACACACACATGTGCATGAGTCTCAAAAGCATTATGCTAAAGAAAAGCCAGATGAAAGGGAGTATATGATTTATGATTCCATTTATATGAAACTTGAGAAAAAGCAAATTATTCCAATAGAAAGCAGACTAGCAGTTGCCAGGGGTTGTGGAGGAAGGGAGGGAGGGGACTCACTGCAAAGGGCTTCAAAGAATCTTTGAGGGGTGATGAAAACATTCCAAACCATTACTTGGATTGTGGTAATCGACTGTATACAGCTTTTCAAAACTCACTGATTTGTACAGCGAAAGTTGCTGAATTTTATTTCCTGTTAAATACACCTCAATAAAAGTGACTAACATAAAAAAGGAAAACCAGGGCTGGGCGCGGTGGCTCAAGCCTGTAATCCCAGCACTTTGGGAGGCCGAGGCGGGTAGATCACGAGGTCAAGAGATTGAGACCATCCTGGTCAACATGGTAAAACCCCGTCTCTACTAAAAATACAAAAAATTAGCTAGGCAGGGTGGTGTGTGCCTGTAATCCCAGCTACTCAGGAGGCTGAGGCAGGAGAATTGCTTGAACCCAGGAGGCAAAGGTTGCAGTGAGCTGAGATTGCGCCATTGTACTCCAGCCTGGGTAACAAGAGCGAAACTCCGTCTCAAAAAAAAAAAGGAAAACCAGAATTGCACTGTAGAGGGAGTCACATGGTACAGTATGGAGAGAGAGAAAGAGAGGAGAAACAGAACTGCACTCTGGAGGGAGCCCCATGGTAAGCTGTGCTCACCCACTGAGACGAGGTGGCTGTAGTTCTCTAGCATCACATCTCTGTACAGGGTCCTCTCAACAGGACCCATGTGCTGCCACTCCTCCTGGGTGAATTCCACAGTCACATCCTTGAATGACACTGATGCCTGAAACAGTGCATTGCTGATTAATCTGAGTGTTCAGAAGTAGAGAAAGGAAAATGTTTTCGTTAACTAACTCATTATGCTTACTGTTGAGAATTTAAAATAAAATGGCATAAGGGATTCCTATCATGGTCCTGATTCTGCCTTATGCTTTTGAATTGCATAATTAGTGGCACAAATATTTGTTCTCATGTTCTTATTTGTATTTATTTTAAAATTAAAC